GTGAAGCGGCTGGGATGAGGATCAGCACCTCCAAATCTGAGACCATGGTTCTCGACCGGAAAAGGGTGGCTTGCCACCTCCGGGTCGGGGGAGAGGTCCTACCTCAAGTGGAGGAGTTTAAGTATCTCGGGGTCTTGTTCACGAGTGAGGGTAGGAGGGATCGGGAGATTGACAGGCGGATTGGTTCGGCGTCTGCAGTGATGCGGACGCTGAGCCGATCTGTCGTGGGGAAGAGGGAGCTGAGCCAGAAAGCCAGGCTCTCGATTTACCGGTCGATCTACGTCCCAATCCTCATCTATGGTCATGAGCTTTGGGTAATGACCGAAAGAACGAGATCGCGGATACAAGCGGCCGAAATGAGTTTCCTCCGTAGGGTGGCCGGGCTCAGCCTTAGAGATAGGGTGAGGAGCTCGGACATTCGGGAGGGACTCGGAGTAGAACCGCTGCTCCTCCGGATCGAAAGGAGCCAGTTGAGGTGGTTTGGGCATCTGGTCAGGATGCCTCCTGGACGCCTCCCCGGGGAGGTGTTTCGGGCATGTCCTGCCGGCAGAAGGCCCCCGGGTCGACCCAGGACACGTTGGAGAGGTTACATCTCCAATCTGGTCCGGGAACGCCTTGGGGTCCTGCCGGAGGAGCTGGTGGACAAGGCCGGGGAGAGGACGGCCTGGAGCTCCCTAGTTGGGATGCTGCCCCCGCGACCCGGACCCGGATAAGCGGAGGAAGACGAGACGAGAGACGAGACGAGAATATAACATATTTCTATAATGAGATTTTTTATTTACATATTCCAGAGATTCCAGTGGAGGCCTCAAAACATCACTCCGAGGGCATGCCTGACCTGAGCTAATAGCTTTTAATCCAACGTTTTTATTAACAAAAGATGCAATTTCACACAAAATACTTTATTATCACCATCAAAAATAGACAAAAGGCCTCCATGAACCATTTATTTCAAACATTTACTTATAGTTTAACATTTTTTATTGGTTTACATAAATATTCTCGTGTCTTTTCTTTCCAGAAGAAGGCAGCGTTAATCTTAACGTTCAACATCAGAAGGCTGTTTCACATTTTCCACATAACTAAGCGAAACACAAAATACTTTACAACACAAAATACACAAATATTCTGAGTTAAGCTGATGGGTGAGTCCATTCAGATGTTACCTCAGAAGCTGCCAGTGAACACAGGGCTACTAGAATAATCACCTGCAGCTGTTAGCTAAAACCAGCTGGACTCATTTAGCTGCAGCTAGGACTCCTTTAAGTCAAATAAAACAGCCAAAAATATCTAATGGCTATTGATATCTCTCCTCACAGAAAGCCTAAGCAGCAGTCAAGATTTTCAACTTGCAATCATTCTGATGCCGAGGTATGTTTACATTTTCCAGCTTGAAACTCACAGTGTCACATGGGAACAAATGGTGTTTGCATGACAATGTTCACAACACAGTGGTGCATGTTTTCACCAGGCTTAGGGCTGGCTGTCTTCTATTAGGGTTGGGGTTCGTCTTGTGTGTTGGTCAGTTCTGTATTGAGGCAAGTACAGCAAAGAAAACTCGCAAGTCGATGCTGATGGCAGCTTGTCAGGCTGGCTGGAGTCCTCTAGGCCGAGCAGATGATGCAGCTCCACACAACTGTCCTCCCTATCCGCAGCATCATCTTTAAGGAGCTTGGTTTTTAAATTGTCTTCTCTCTGCTCCTCTCCCTCGCTCTCCTCATCATCTGTTGAATATTTGATTTCTAGATAGTCCAAATGTTTCTTCTCGCCTTCGTTTTCTTGCTCTGATGATTCGGAAAGCTCCTCCACAGAATTGTAGGAGCAAGAACGTCTGGGATCGTCCCCCTCTGCACCTGGACAACTATCCAGCTCCCACAGGGCACTGGGGGATGACTCAGAAATGTCAGAGTTGTTGGCAGAGAAGTTTCCCTCGTCGCTGGAGCTGCACCTGCTGCTGTCGCTGTAGTGGAGGCGAACAGGCTGAAGATCCTGCTTTGCATCGGCGAGCAGAACTTTGGTGTAAGTGACTGAAGATTGTGCAGAGCTGGTGTTGCCTGGATTCTGCTCCACAAGGGGTTTAACTAGTTGCATGCTTTGGTTTGAAGCAGTTAAAGCTTCTACAGTGATTGTCAGAGAAGGAGCTCCACCCAAGAGGGCTTCGGTCTCCACCGACTGGTCAACCTCTGGGTCAAACAGTGTCAGGAGGTTATCTGAAGCTGTTCCAGGGTCAGGAGTCAGGGACTTTGGGGTTTGGACCAAGGCCTTCGTCTGAGCTTTGTCCATGATGATGACCCTGGAGATGCTCTCGGCTGGAAGTGGTAAAGCTTGAAGACCATCTGAAGGTCGAAACAGGGCTTCAAAAGTGTCCACCTGGAGAGAAAATGACGGAGAACAGATTGTCAGATTTAATCTGACTCAACTCAAATCAATATTTATTTATGCAGCACCTTACAGACAGAAAACTGGATACAATAAATCTTGAGAGAAGCACAAACAACACAATAAATCAAGTAAAAGAATAAGATCAGGTAACAGCTAACTCAGTTAAAAACAGACCATAAAAGTAGATTACAGAGCATCTTAGCCAGGACATGAGTCAGCCAAGTAAGGCAGAGTCAACCCACTCAAAATTTTATAAACTAATAAAATAAATTCAAAAAATAATCTAGCAGCAGCATTCTGAATGAGTTGCAAACGAGGTAAGGTACCCTGGCCCGCACCAAACAGGATGGAGTTACGAGCCCAGGAGTGAAGTCACGAATGCATGAACTGTCTCAAGATCACGTCTTGACAGGAATGGTTTAACCTTGGACAAGCATCGTAAACGATAGCTAGAAGAAGACCCTGTTCCATTAATGTGACCGTTAAAGCAGAGGGCATTGTGAGTCTTCACCCTGAGATTAACCGCTGATGCACTCAGCAAAAGTCATCCTGTTTTAGAACTTGAACATTACTCAAGAACAATGAGGGAAATCCGGTCTGCTGTTTTCTCCCACTTCCCTTTTTTATTCTAGTATGCCAGAGAGCCAGAAAATAGGAAGGTTTGCACCTACAGTATGTGATGTTCCCCTCGATTCATAAATGAATATTTGTCAATGAAAAAAAAACAAATATTTCACATTTTAGAATGCTATTTTTTGTTGTAACATGAAAATAGGGGAGCTGCAGGGAAAAGATGTTATAATCCTGAATAAGACCGTAAAAAAGAGGAATGTTTTTAAACCTTTCAGAATACTAAAACTAATGATGCAATGTACATTCGCTGTCTCACCACTAGGGGGCCCAGCAGATACAGCTGATTGTTTTTTTACCGTTTTAAAGTCGAGTCCTTTAGCCCACGAGCACTTGTTTGGATTGGGAACATCCTTCCACACAAACCTTTTCATCCTGGAAATAAAAAAGATCCTTTTAGGGGTTTAACATTTTACTGGAACCCTCCTGTTCTCTTCACTTGATACCTTCACCTCCCATCAACAAGTTTAATTACACCCTGTGACCTGTTAAATGTCACGCTTCTAATTTTTCATCCTGGATCACTCTGAGCGCCGCATCCATTTGCACACCAGAGATTCTCGTCATTAAACTGTTTATTATAAGGATAGAATCAGGAGCTATTTACTGGTTTTGGGAGAGGACCAGGGTGACAAACACGAAGATGCAGAGGAGGCTGATGAACATCAGCATCATGTAGGCAGCAGGGTCTCCTCTTGTTGCTGCATCAAAAAAAAAAAAACAACATTTAACTTCATAGTTTATGTTGGAGACAGCACCGACAGAAACTGAACAGACCTAAAGTGAACACCGGCTCCCCTTCTCCATCAGCAAACACGGGGTACAAGTAGAACCCATACTCCTCTGAGCTAAAGAAATCCCCTTCAACAGGAAAATAAAGAGAGGGAGAGAAAATGACTACATTTATCCTGCTAACATTATTTAAAGTAAATGTTTCACCTTTTAAATAAGCAGAGTGCTCAGAGTAGGGAAGTCGGGCCCATGTTTGTCCTCTCAAACTGAGATCCTCAGTGTCCCGCAGCCTCGTCGGGGACCAGTGGACCACCATGAAGTTGGGGACAGAGCTAGTGTCTGACAGGCTCCAGGACAGAGACACCCAGGTGCTGTTTATCACCACAACATGGAACGAACGCACACAGTGACCTGCAAACCACCAGAAAAACAAACAGAACCATTAACAAGTGCACGCTACTAAACACACGTTAGTTTTTATTTAATGAAGCGTCTGCAGAAATTCTCATTCACAGCTGGTGGAGGGCTGAGGAGGCAAGTGACATATCTGCTGCTAAATGATGTTCAAAAATGTGTGTGTGTGTGTGTGTGTGTGTGTGTGTGTGTGTGTGTGTGTGTGTGTGTGTGTGTGTGTGTGTGTGTGTGTGTGCATGTGCAACCTTTTAGTATTTATTGTTTATCCTCTAAAAAGGAAAGCTAATGGAAAACAACCTACCAATGAGTTCTCGTAAAAATGGCAAAATCAGGTATTTTTTTGGGGAAAAAACATGTTCCGATCTGCAAGTTTGTTCTCCCGTAATTGCATAAACAGATGTGCCTCATGTGAGGAAAACCATCATTAAAAACAAACCCTGCATCTAATCTTCAGTGTACTTATAGCGCTAACGCTAATGAATCCTGCACCACCATTAGGGCTTTCTATTTGCTTCCACTGAAATAATAATCCTGTTTTTACTCCATGGTGCACATTTTTCAGTTATGTGTTTTAAGGATGTAGCTGTAAATTGGTTATTGTGCCAAAGTGACTAAATAAATCTGGTAATAAAACAAAAACTGTTCCTATGCATAAAAACACTTATCCAAAACCAATAGGATGCTAGGTTAGATTGACAGCTTCCTAAAAACATTCAAATAGTTCACGTTTTCCAGTTTGCAATTTAAACCTAAAAATATAACAACACTTTTAGAGGAGGAGGAGATTTTGAAATCTGAATGGCTCCCTGCTCCCCTTCCGGATGCCACACCTCATACCGTACACACAAATAGCCTTGTAGCGTAAACAAACAAGTAATGTTTTTGATGTGTTCCTGCTTAGACATGCTTGAATCTTACTGTTGAATTATCTCCTCAGTCTTTAATGGGTTCTGCAGGAGCTGCTAATCACTTGTTTTAATCAAATCTGTAGAGTTCAAGCAGGGAGACGTTTGAAACCGAGACTAGCAAAGGTAACACGCCCCTGCTAACGCTACAGCAGGCTAAAACAATAGCCCGCTATGCTAATTACATGGCTCCCTCTTCTTCCACAGTTAGCTTGAAGTTTACAGACTGACATTAATTCAACGCAGGTTGAGTTAACATCCAAGCTATTGTATGTGCTAAGCTGCATCAGTGCACCAGCCCGTAGTGCATGCTGCTAGGATGCTCATGGATTGACAGCTCTGGCTTCACAAGACTTGTTTTGCTGCAGAGGCCAGGAGAGGGACTATGAGGAAATATAAATAATGAAAGATTATCTACTTTTTATCATAAAACAGAAGCATTGGTCAAATTTAGGCATTTTTTAAAGTAACTTTTAAACATTTAAACTACGTACGCCAGCGTTAAGATAAACTTTTCTTCACCTATAAAAATGATCTCAGATCTCTTTTGTATTTTTCCTGCAACAGCAGCAGCATAAATACATTTCTTCGGATTAATCCCTTTTTGTGACTTAAATTTTTTAGAGAATGGTGTATTCCTAATTTTGCCTATTTTTAATTTAACATTCTCACCATTTATGTTTTAAAGATTATGTTTTGCATGAAGACATAAAACGTAATAACGAGTCTTTCTGGGCTGTTTTTACCTGTTTTATGTGGTATGATTTGTGCTGTTTGAATAAAATTGGAATGGACTTTGAGATTTCAGGTAGTTGTTTTTTAACTACAACATTTTTTCAACAGCTACAATCTAAATATGAGTTTTGTATTTTCAAATGACTTATAAATTGAATTATTTATTATATAAACCTATGTAAGAATGTCAGCTAGGCTTTTAAATATATTTTTAAAATCCTCCAAACACAAACAAGTGGCTCAGTCTAAGACCCAAGAGTAAACTCAGCCCACTCATCTGGATTTCTCCTGCAGTTCCACATAAATTACTAATTATTTTCATAAACAACTCCAGATCACAACACTGAGGTCAGAGCATCCAGCTATAGTATACTAAGTAGATTAATTTCCTCTCTGGGTCCGCACAAACTTCCTGTTAGATTGCCTCTTGCTTACGTTTAGGGGTTTTCTCCAGTGTCATGTTTATGTTGTTGCTGGAGCTTCCCAGATTATTGTAGGCCTCCACAGTCACAATCTGGAGCTCCTGGTTCCACTCAAAGCTGTAGGAGGACACCAGATGAATCTGCTTCCTCAGCACGGAGCCGTTCCAGGTCTGGTGCTGGACTATAAATCCATCCACACAGTAGGAATTCGCTGAAACTGGCAAACTCTGCACAACAAAACATGGGCTTTAATATTTGGAGATTTGCAAAATTAATAATATTAAGATCTGATAATCTCATTTTTTTTACCTTAAAGAGGAGAGTTATATTTGATAAGTTACTCTGATGATCGTCATCACGAATTCTCCAGAAATCAGGTCCACGGTCAGGAGCTGCAGGGGAGACGGATCCATGGATGTTTAAAGAGCTTTATCATTAATTAAATATTAGTATCTGTGTCTGGTGAAAATCCTGAGGTTTCATGTGACAGATTGTGGGCGTACTTCTGCTGTTCTGAGTTGTGGAGTTGACAGACTCAGTCCAGTCGCTCCAGTAGCCGGTCCCGTTGATGTGCATGCAGCGTACCTGGACCACGTACACCTGGCACATGTCTGGTACCATTACCTCATCCCCGGGAACACGCACCGAACTCTGGACCTGCACAAATTAGGCTTTTACAGTTCAAATGTTTAACTGTTTATCATGGAGCTAATTGCGAAAGCACATGCCTTAGTTTTCTGTTTTAGCAACTGATTGGTTTTGTTAGAATTTTTAAATTAATATTTTGTAAGGTTTTGTAAGTGGTTAAAATTAATAAACTGTCAATAAAATATGAAAGGTTTTTAACAAATTATGAATCATTAATGTTATCGAACCTTTAATATCTGATTGACTCTTGAAATAGGTAATGTGGGTAGCCAGGGAACCAACACTTAATAGACTGCAGGTTTACTGGTGGTTCCCAGAATATCTAAAAATTGGATGGGAGGCAGATCTTTTAGCTATCAGGCTCCTCTCTTGTGGAACCAACTCCCAGCTTTAGTCCGTGAGGCAGACACCTTGTCTACTTTTAAGAATAGGCTTAAAACATTTTTATTTGATAGGGCCTATGGTTAAAAGCTGATGATAGCCCAGATCTGGACAAGTGGGGGAGTAGAGGGAGGTGGAGTGTACAGTCGGTAAAGACGGCTCTCCCTTGCCCTGCCTCCAACATGTCTCCATCTAAAAGGCTGGGTTATCCAGACTTATCTCTGTAGTTATGCTGCTATAGGCTTAGACTGCTGGAGGATAAACTGACCACTTTCCACACTCAACTACTTTCATCTACAATCTGCTCTTTAACTGTATTATTTCCTGCAATTTCAGCTGTTAACTTTATTTTTTCTCTAAGTGTTTTTCTCCCCAGAAGAAGCTATAATGATGTTCTGCTGAGCTGTGGTGGCCTCATGGAGGGGGCCATCGGCTTGAACAATGTTGCTAACCACTTAAACATTGTCCCTCTCCTGATAATTACACTTTACTTTCTTTGACATTGAATGTGCTACTACTAGTTTACCCGTTTAATTATAGATTCACTAGGATAAATACAATAAAGTCTATCTCTCGCCAAATAGAAAATTTACTAAGAAATCACAATGTAACCATAGAAACACTACTTGGTGTGTGTGTGTGTGTGTGTGTGTGTGTGTGTGTGTGTGTGTGTGTGTGTGTGTGTGTGTGTGTGTGTGTGTGTGTGTGTGTGTGTGTGTGTGTGTGAGAGAGAGAGAGAGAGAGAGAGAGAGAGAGAGAGAGAGAGAGAGAGAGAGAGAGAGAGAGAGAGAGAGAGAGAGAGAGAGAGAGAGAGAGAGAGAGAGAGAGAGAGAGAGAGAGAGAGAGAGAGAGAGAGAGAGAGAGAGAGAGAGAGAGAGAGAGTCGTGGAGGATGGCTGCTTATACTGAGCCAGGATCCTCTGGAGGTTTCTTCCTGTTAAAAGGGAGTTTTCCTCTCCACTGTCGCTAAATGCTTGCTTAGTATGAGGATTGCTGTAAAGACTCTGACACTAGTCAGTGACTTGATGCAATTTGCTGGGTTCCTTATATAGGAAACTTTTTTTGATTGGCTTAATGAACTGACCTGTATTGAAATGTTTACTGTGTGAAGTGCCTTGAGACGACTCTTGTCGTGATTTGGAGCTACATAAATAAACTTGAATTGAATTGAATAATTTGACACAGAAGCAAAAAATCTATATTATAAAAATCCATTTATTACTATATTTCAATGACTAATGATTGTACAGAATCACTGGAGGTAAAGGATTATTCAGGATAATATCAAGTGAGACAATAACCAAACTCTAATGAAACATGACCTTGGATGTTATTAAGGGTCTAATAAGGTGTCTCACGAAACGATGTGAAGTCTGGGATTACAAGAATAATCTGGCTGAATTTAGTGATGTTAGATTAGTTATCAAATTAATCACAACCATCCAATGCCAGTATGCAGTTCTATGATACAAGTGGTGAGGGTTCCAGGAGATCCAGCTGGCAGAGCAAAGTTGTCTCGGCAAGGTTGACGGGTTCCTTTGAACACAGCCCGGCTGCTCAGTGGGATACCCTCTGGTGTCTGGCATCTAAAGCCCCATTCCCATCTGTACCGGGTCGGCCCGGGCCGGGTAGCCCCAGTCGGCCCCAGCCTGGCCCGGTTGATTCCGCACATCCTTGCCTTAAGCCCATGTGGGCTGATTCTACCCACCAATCAGAGGCTTGCTCTAATGGAAGGTGTGAATTTGCTGTCAGCAGTGGGTGTGTTGGCCCTGGTCTGCCTGAAGCAGACCCCCTCGAGAAGAGGGCTGAGAATGAGCCTTGGTTGGCCCGGAAAAATACCAGGCCACCCAGATATGTAAACAACCTACGCTACCCGGCCCGGGCCGACCCGGTACAGATGGGAATGGCCCATAATGAACTTGTTCCAGGTTGAAACAAATAATGGTTTTTTGGTTCTGAAAAAAAGGTGGTTCTATGCCTCTAAAAAGTGTTCTACTGTGAGATCTGGTTTGATCTCACAAGAGGTGTTCATTTAGCATTGTGGCTGGAACTCCAAAACGGAGCATGTGTCTATCTTTTAAGGTCCGTGTTGGACCAATCAGAGACCAGGAAAGATATGGGAGGCGTTGCCAAAGTCCTCTGACATCATATCTGTTGCTAAGAGACCCATAAAGGAGTATTTCACTTATTGTGGGTTCTAAATAACATATAACTGTCATTGTTAATATACCGATATTAAAAGTAGACATGACTGATAATAAAATCATTAACTCACCAAGTAGATTTGTTTGGCGTAACCAAGATCCAAGAGAATGCATTTCAACAATAAACAGTTATTTTGATGCTTTACTACCATCAACCAATCAAGTCTAATTAAATTCACTTTAGATAAAACATTCATTGTTTTTGAGTGTAATTAATCTCTAAAGTGAGAAACTCCATGTATAAAACAGAATATGATTCTTTAATTAAAGCCGTGTCTTCTCCAGGAGTCTTGTGACTTGCAGCACAGATAAGAGAACAGGCGAGCAGCTTTGTTATGACAGTTTCCCAGATGGCGAGGTCATAAACAGGGCATTTGTTTTGGTTTGGAAAGCGCAGTTTCTCAGGTAAATGCCGATGGCTGGACAGTGTTATGGCCGATGACCTTTAGGCATGCACTGCTTTTCATACGCTACAAATTATTTATTTTATTTAAATAATTTTGTTAATCTTTAGTAGTAGTAGTAGCAGCAGAAGACACGGGTCCAGTATAAAATAAGGTAACAAGCATAAGATATGATAAAATACATAAAAATCTATAAAATACAAAGTAAAATACATAGAACAGACAAATGACAGACACCTATAGAAATCTGGATCTAAATTTAAGTGAAAATATGTTTAAATTATAAAATCATAATATATAAAACCTACATAATTAAGAAGAGTCAACACACAAACACTAATTGTTAGCTCAACGTTAGCCTCTAGCCTGCTCCACTTGATATTGGAGTAAAACATAAAGATCCTGTAGCTTCTTAGGTGTACAAGAAATAAGTTCTGGGTCGCTCCTGTTTACTGGCTAGGCATCTTTGCTAATCACTGTGGAGCTAAATAATGGCTGGTGCTGACTCGGTGCAGACTTGACAATCCCACAGGCTCACAGATTGTAAATAAAAGTCTACATCCCTCTTTAGCTTTTCTAAAAGGAGAAAAACTGACAACCCCACCAGGCAGCTGAAAAGGAAATCTGTTTCAATGTAACCTTCCTTCCAACATGATTGAGACTGTTTTGCGATTATTTCACAGTAAAATTATGAAATATTGTGCCTTAAGATCTCCAAAAGACACATTTAAAAATAACGCTTCAATAAAAAACCTTAAACCACCAAATGGTTCCTGAGCCAGTGTCTGCAGCTCACCACTCCCGCAGGGGATGGGTCAAATGCGGAGAACAAATTCCACACACACCAGTTGGAGTGACAACTAGTAGGTCCAGTATGATTTTAGTGAGAAGTTTAAAATTTTTAACTTTTTATAAATAAAAGTTTTGAAATACGTACAAATCTGCGGCCAAATTCTCCATGAAAGCTTCTGATGGTTAAATGCTGATTAGCTCACCTTCCACTTCTCGATCACACTGAGCGAGTGGTAACGAAACTGGCACTGGAGACCCTCAGCTGGCAGATACGGAGGCTTCCATGTGACCCTCAGGACCCCACCGACCTGAGTCACTGCCCTCACGTTGGTGGGGCTGTGAGGCTGTACTGCAGGTCAAACACAAAGAAAAAAACAGCTGCTGCAGGACGTTCCTTATTAAAAAATGTTTTTCATATTTATACTTACAACTCAACCTCAAAATTTATAATAATAGATTTAAAGTCAGTATGTTTATTTAAAAAATTAATTTATTTTAATATTACTTCTCATTGTATCTCATGACATTCTTACACATCATTTTTTATTTTAATGAAATTGATTGTCTTTGTGCATTAAAGTTTGATTTTAACCTGTTTTGTGACAAGAAGTCAATTAAGTGAACTTTTAAGTATTTTAATGATTTTCATATTTTAACAAAACACAACAAAATTAAACTGAATTATAAACTACACATAATTTAGAAACGTGCCAGAAAACACCAGCTAATTCAATCTTACCTTTGATTTAGTCTTTAATTCATTAGTTTTTGCTGCCTTTAATATTTATAATATACCAAATCTACTGAAATATTCCAACAAAAGGGGAAAACACAAACAGTAAAATGTTTGTTCCCTATTAAAAATTCCCATTAATTCCTACATTTACAGCTTCGACTTTGATGCAAAGTAAGTAAAAAGTTAATGAACCTGCATTAATTTATTATTTTTGTGCTGGAGTTTAGTTTCAGCAACCAGAGAAGGACCATGAAACAGGCTTCTGCAGTTAGACAGGTGCTTCACACTGCTCACCGTAATCCATAGGAGACAGGTAGACGGGTTTGGACCGGACCGGACCCTGATGAGAAGAAACCTCCAGCCATAGTTTGTAGCAGTTCATCCTCAAAGGCTGGATGGTGCAGCTTTTCTGTTGATCCCTGAATGACCTGACCTGGATGCAGGCGGGGCCCGTCTCGCCGATGTCCTCACCGGCTCCGTCCTTCTCCTCCATCACCTCACACGGCACATCTGCCCACCTGCAAACGAGAGAAGTCGCCTTATGAGTAGTTTCTGTGCACATCGAGACGTTGATGCATCAGAGACAAACTTAAATCTCTCTCTCTTTCTCAACTCTTTTTGTGGTGGTGGTGCCGGTGTGTGTGTGTGTGTGTGTGTGTGTGTGTGTGTGTGTGTGTGTGTGTGTGTGTGTGTGTGTGTGTGTGTGTGTGTGTGTGTGTGTGTGTGTGTGTGTGTGTGTGTGTGTGTGTGTCAGCAAAACCGTGATCCAGGAAAGATGAACTGCGGGAGCAAATCTGCAACAAAGGAGCTCTTTGTTGCTTTAGCAGGTGTTGTCCATTTTGACCCCGGGAATGTTTCACCACCACGGTGGCACCAAAATGCTTCTAGACGTTGTTCTAAAAGGTTCCCGGTGTGAAGCTGAGATTGAATAAAATGTGGAAGTCATGAAAGAATGACTGAGATTAAAGAGAGTGAGTGATCCAGGAGATCTGAACAGATTTTGTTCCATAATTTGAAACTCCTGCTACTTTCCATAGAGGTGTAGTCTGATCACTAACTTCCAGACTTCTTGGGAATAACAAAGTCAAAGTCTTACTGGAGAGTCTTTAGGAAAATGTCTGAGGTCGTCCTCTTTTTTCCTCTGGTCATCATTTTTGTTCCTGTTTTAAATCATCTCCATTATGAACAGAGGCTGCCAACACTTAAGCATTAGTTTTAGATGTGACCTACGTATTTAAACACTCAAAAACGTACAGCAGAAGCTGAAAATACACAAACACAATGTTTATGTTTGGACTAAATGTCACTAAATTCAAATTAAATTGCAAGACAATGTAAAATTGAACATACAATACTTGATAACGACTTTTGGCTTAACCTAAAACATCAAATTTCGTTTTTTTAAAGATTATTTTTTGTTTCTATTTTTCAGGTTTGAAAAGAGGATGAGAATTCATATAATTATGAACAAATAAGTGAAGATGAATAAATGAGTTTTGTGTCAACGACAACTGAAAAGTGGTAAAAAAGTGAAATGCACTCATCTGAAATTATCCTCATTACTATTATACATTTATCTTATAATGATCATCCCCAGGGCCTTGATCAGTTTGGCTCTCATGCTCCTGTTAGCTCAGACTTGCACATCCAGGGTGTGTCGGTGACATTGTGTTGAGCTACTTCCATGTTTTTGGCGCACCCCTTCCAAACTGTTAACCACAAACTCGCTTTACATGAAAGGTGTTATAAAGTGTTATAAATTCTGCTTTACTTGTATTGAAACTGGAGTTTAGTCCACTCTTCCGTCTTCCATCTGCAGTCCATAGCATCGATGTCACCGTTGGTTACACACTTTATATCAATGAACCCTCCTAAAACACACAGGATGAGGTTGAAGTGAAGTTTACTCAAATAAAACCACAAACTTCACTTTGTCTCGTTACCATCGAGACTCTGGATAACGTTTTTGCCTGTCTGCAGAGTTAGCTAACTACATGGACGTAATTTTTGGGGGGGGACAGGGGGGACATGTCCCCCCAACTTTTTCCAAAGTCAAGTTTTGACCCCTGCACTTTTTGCCATCCAAAAACAATATTACACTATATTAAATTGACACTGGTTGAGCTCTAGGACCGAGTAGAAAAAGACAGTTTGTGTTGAAGCCTGTTTCCCATTAGAGCACACTGTAAAGATACCCCCCTGCCCCGTGTCCCCCCCCCCCACTTCTAAAGTGAAAATTACGTCCATGGCTAACTATCTTGTGAACCACTCAATAGATTTGAATTAAACAAAGTAAATCTGTGCATCTACGACTCATGGCTAACTGAAATAATCCGATACACAAATGGCTACAGCTCAGTCGGTTTAACATATCCGAGGTCACATTTGGTTCGCTCCAATGGCATATTCTCATTTAAAAACACAAACTCTGACTTTAAACAGATTTCACAGTTTTGCATGAGAGTGCACTTTATTTTCAAGGGTTGATCAAAGCAGCAACAAATCCACTAGCAGAGGGTTTTGGTTTTAAACTAGAGTGGTCCTTTCTGGAGTGCTTCTTCTATTTTGTTCTGATTTGTTTTCTGCAGAAAAAACTAACGACCAGCAACACTGAATGTGCAGCTGGTTCAGAATGTCGCAGCTCACCTTAAATACCTGTCTTACATACCTGTCTTACATACCTGTCTGACCTCCTTCAGATCTCTGAGGGAGGTCTGTGATCTACCGAGTAGCTGATTTTAGCCATCCCAGACTCAAGGTGGTGCGCAGAGGTGATCGTAGCTCATACTCTGTAGACTACACTGATCCTGAATTTCCAGAAGACTCCAGCTCCCAGTGGTTTCATGTCCCATCTCAAACTTGCATTCAATGAGTTAAAGTTTTTATTTAACATTTTATTCTTTTTGTAATTTGTTTATATGCATTTTATCTTTTAATTCTACTTCACGTGCAGTAAAGTTGTTTTTAAATGTTTACATGAATAAAAATACATACATGCTTTTTATTCATCATAAGATTCTGTGATTTTTGTGCACCAAGTCTCACCTTCCACAAATATCTGGCTGTAAGGATAACTCCACTCCTTGGTGCACTTGAGCAGGTCATAGATCCCCGTCTCTGAAGCACGGACTGTTATCTGGCTGACCTGTTTTCATTTAGAGAAAAAGAGGAACATGAAACGCACAGTTGCACTTCTCTAAACTGCAAAGAAGAGTGGGAGTTTTCTCTCACCCACTGGTTGACAGGGTGGTACAGGCTCCCATCCAGCTCCTGTGTGTGGTTGAGGATCCACCTGGCCATGCTGGCGTTGATCCTGTGGTCGTTGAACACGCAGTAGACCGTCACGTTGTCCCCCGCTCGCGCCACCACTTTCTCGGGAATGTAACTCAGAGCTGCACACAGAAAACAAAATCATCTGTGATTTTCTGAAACAATAGGCACCTGCCCTACCTCCGTAATTGTTCTGGGCTCCACGGAAAGATGACATGACGTGAAAAGAAGCTGTGCAGATGCCTCCTATAATGGAGGTCTGAAACAAAGACAAGAACAAAACACCTGACTCATTCTTATTATTTAGCAGTTTACACTCCGACTTTCTTAAAACTAAAGAAGAAATCTCAAGGATTTGAAAACTTTGTTTCTTGTCTAAGGTCTCACTTTCTTTAAAACAAACATTTTGCATTTATTTGTATTTGTGTGAAAACGTGCAGCTGGTGCGTTTAAAGAGTCTTCTGTTTGGTTGTCTGCTCTGTAACGATCACATGTTCAGCTCCATGATAGTGGAAGGACATTTATGCCTGAAGGACAGACTGATGACATAGCCCTTGTGGCACAGCAACTGTGTTTGGTTTACGAGAAGTACCGCCCTGCAAAATGAGAAAACTGGAGCTTACTGCCATGTCTGGGCTCCCTGTTTCCTCACAGAGTTACACTGAAAGACTTTTATTTTCTACTGATGCAATAAGCAAAATGCAGAACCAAAAGTCTAGACCGACAGAGAGGCACCACAGTCAAAATCAGACTTGTTCCATTGTGTGGCCTCTACAATGATCTGCTTCAGACTCCTCTGTGGCTCATCTCCATCCCCTACCTACTTTTGCTTAATTAGACAAGCTGTTCCAGATGTGTGAGGTCAGCTGTGATTCGTAAAAATCCAGTTATTGCTAAAACTCACCTCAATACCATAGACCTCTTCCTATTCTTGGTTCAAGAGTCATTTTATAAGGTGCACTTGTGTAACGTGATGAAGGAGCTATTCCTCCAAGGTTATTTACCTTCTCTCCACAGATGCCTCTGACACAGTACTAAGCTGCATGAGACTGCCTCAAAGTCATGCATTCGCTTCTAAAACTGTTTACTTTCCAGCAAGAGAAGAATGAAGATAAAGGACTCTTTTCTTTTAATAAATCAAAGAACTCTATTTTTAATAAAGCGAATCAAAACAAGTGTTAGTCAATAATATAATGTTGACCGATCTGTTAAATAACAATGTTATGATTAATATGCTTTAATAAGTAAATTACTTTAATCTAGTGCACTAGACACCCTGATACACGTAATGTAAATGCATGACACATTGCTGTTACTGATCCATTCAGAACATTCCTTTCTAAAGCGTGGCATAGTCTCTGTGGTGTTTATAAATCTGCCAGCTTTGATTCGACCAGAATTCAAAACATCCAGATTAATAAAACCAGTTCCAACGCCATCTTAGTTCAGTTCTCAAGATCTCACTGGAGTTCACCGCATGCCAAGCGGAGTATCGGACCGGCCATCCGGACTTCCTTTTTAAGCTGAGAACCAACAAGCTGGGAAAATCTGTTGCATTTTACCAACCAAGCAACGGTTCCTTTCAGAATAAAAGCTGAACTCACTGACCCAAGGAGGGTCCATCTGACGCTGTGAACCACCTGTCGCTTTTTACCTGGAGACAATCCAAAGACTAGTCTGTCGTACTGCTGATGCTGTTTCACCGGCTCCTGTACCGAAAGGGTGGTCCGAGGACCTGGCATTCTGGATCTGTACGGAGGTCTCATCAAGGGTATGTGTAAAGCGACAATATGGCGTCTCATGTGTTTATGAAACTCCGATCAAACTCTGATCATAGTTAGAAGCAAAGCATCACAACATCATTCACACTTGCTTCTCCGGATACGAGAGTTCTGATCATAACATCACTCACACACACACCATTCATCTCATGTCTCATTACACCAGATCCATTCATCACTCAGAGTTTAGAGTTAGTCTTGTTTAAAATTGTTTAAATTGTTTAGAAATAAATCTTCCTAAACGTTTTAAAGGACTCTCTCTCTTCTCTTGTCTCTGGCTTAACACAAAGTGTTACATAATCCCTGTAATAAAAAGTTCCAATCTTCTGGTTAAAATAACCCAACGGTCCGTAAGATTGATTTCATATTTAATATGGAATCTTACATCTTACGGGTCCTTTATTGGATGTAAATTAACTTCTTTTACACTTGTCCCATTAGTCAAGTATGTATTGGAACTCTAAGAAACTCTTCCCAGGATCTAAAACCTGTATCGGATTAACTCCTGACACTCAATTCAAGGTGACTGCAGCAGTCCGAATTATGTAACAGGGAATTTTCTAAAGCTCGTATGGTTCAACAAATGCTGGGCTAGAAATGTGATGTGGTGATGCTGAGCATCATCCCCCCCATTTTCTTCTCAGGGCAAACTGTAACGTCTCATATTAGGAATGTTTTTTTTTTAATTTGATCAAAACAGCTAAAAGTCAAAGCTGATCAACAAAAAGTCAATAAATGCTGACGGAAGTCAAAGAAATCAATTTCTTTTTTTCCAGGAGGGATGGAGTTATGTGGAACAGAGTTATAGATAGATCATCTTTATTGGCAGACTCTTAGGTCCAGATACAATATATATAAAACAACAAAACATTAAAAACAATTCATGAAACAAAATGGGTAAAAACAAATAGAACAAATAAAAAAGATAAAAGCATAAAATTAAATAAAAATCTAAATCTATTTTAAAAACTTACTATAAAGATATTCCACACAATTAAGAGTAACCACACAAACACTTCAACCAGTGGTTCCTTATACTGGACAAATAGCGACAACTGCTCACAGCAGGATCAGTGATTGCTAAAATTATACTGTTGGCAGAGCTATCCAGTCGTTCTCTAAAAGTGAATATTAGTTTTCTTAAAAGAGCTTTAAAAGTACAAATGCCTGCTGTTACAAACATCTGACTGGCACTGCCCTCTCTGGGTATTTTGAGTATGATTCTTAAAGCATCACTGTATGCAACATGCAGCTTATTCATGCTGCTTTGATTGTAGGATGACCACAGTTGGGCTGTGTAAAGCGGAGTACAATATGCTTTAAATAAAGCCACCTTAACTGGAGGTGAATGTAACAGAATGAAATGACTGTGTCCCCCTCTCCTCTGACACAGAACTAATCTGCATGAGATATGGCCTCAAGGTCTCATGCATTTGCTCTAAACTGCTTCTTTCCAGCTCAAGAGAAGAATGAAGAAATGGACTCTCTCCTTTTAATAAATCAAAGAACTCTATTTTTAATAAAGCGAATCAAACAAAGTGTTAGTCAATAATAAGATGTGACCAATCTGTGAAATCAAAATATTAATTACTTTATTATAATCCTATAGAATATAATAAGTAAAATGACTTTAGATGTTCCACTAGGACTGATCTCACGTAGCGTTAAGACATGACACATTGCTTTTACTGATCCAATCAGAATCTGCCAGATCTGACAGAGGCGTGGTTTTGGTGGTGCTTGGTAAATCTGTCATCTTTTCATTCGACCATAAACAAAAATCTGAAGTATAAAACTATGCCCACGTCATCTTTAACGCCAGTTCAAAGCGTTCTAGAGAGGTTGACGGCGTGGCCAATCCGTGACTCTCCTCTTCAGCCGAAAGAACCAACGACAAGCTGGATAAACCTATTACCGTTCCACCTGCTGCAACGGTTCCTTTCAGAATAAAAGCTGAACTCACTGACCTTCTGGGTCCATCTGACGCTGTCAACCAACTGTCGCTTTTTACCTGGAGACGATCCAAAGAATAGTCTGTCATACTGCTGATGCTGTTTCATCGGCTCCGGTACCGAAAGAGGGCTTCGAGGACCTGGCATTCTGGATCTGTACGGAGGTCTCATTCTAAAGGTTGGTTTATGCTTGACGCGTCCGCGAGGTCCGCACGGCTCCGCGCGGAAAAGTTGCGTCATTTTGCGTCATTTTAACAACCACGGCCCAAGATTTCCGCAACGCGCACCTCGGAAAATTTCTAACCACGCGGACGGTCGGACGCAGAAAAACATGGCGGACCGGCACGACAGAGGTTCGTAAATACAGACATTTGTATGATTCAGCTCTCAGAGATCACCGTGATCAACATGTTGTTAATAATTCTTGGAGAGAAATAGCTCGCACTGTCGGAAAAGACGAGAACGCTGTTAAAAATGCTGAAATGCCATGTTGTAAACAGTAATTTCTACTTCTACTATGGTGTAGTGTTGGATGCATGCCGTAGAGCTCCATGCTGCCCCGTTCAGTTTGGGAGAATATTGGCTCACCGCAGAGACGAGCCGCACAAACAATAAACACTGCGAGTTGTGAAGCGCGTTCCAGCCGCGAGCCGCATCACCGCGCGGAAAGTGAATGCGTCAAGCATAAACCAAGCTTAAGGGTATGTGTGGAGCGACAACATGGCGTCTCATGTGTTTATGACTCTCCGAATCAAAGCTTAGCTCAAGACATCACCTTCATTCCTACCAGAACTAATAGTTTCTTCGGATTTGCTGGTTCTGAGCAACATTCCACACTACACCATTCTCCGTCTCATTTCACCTTAGTAACACCATACATTTAGTGTTAAAGTTAGTCTAGTTTTAATTTGTTTAGTAATAAATCTTTAAACTTTTAAAACCTGACTCTCTTTCTTTTGTCTCTGAGTTAATACGAAGTGGTTACATAATCCCTGCAATAAAAAGTTCCAATCTTTTGGTTAAACAGTACCCACAGATCCATAAAGTTGATTTCATATTTACTATGGAATCTTATGTCTTATGGCTCATGAAATAACATGTAAATTAATTCATTACATGAACAAAAACTAAACTTATGTGCTATAGTATTGGCCTGTGCATACAGCTTACAGCACTGTCTATGATGTCAGCATCATCACGCATTTGATCAGTTATAAAGTGGCCAAGGTATTTCACCTTCTCACACACATTAAAATCACTATTACGCCGGGGACACACCGGCCGCGGAAGCGCCGCGAAGCGCCGAGAAGCGAATCGCTCACGAAATTCGGCCGCTGCTCGCCGCTCCTCAGTTCAGATCAGACGCGCCCCAGTCGAGGCGCGCCTCGGCTCAGCTGTAGTTTTTCTTTTAAACACTTGGTGTCCTCCATTTCCTCTCTGCCTTTTCTCAGCTCTTTTCCTACGTTTGAGTGTTTGTGCGCGTGCGTGCGCGCGCGTGTGTGTGTGTGAACCTATGGTATGAGTTGTTTCTGCCAGTTGAATCTCTTGGAACCCGCTCCAATTCTGCAGCTGTATCCTAGCAGTTTCTTCCGACATGGGTACGTAAACAATCATGTTTTTCGGGGGTCGTACAGCTCCTTGTGTTTCTCAACTTCCATAATTAATTTAAAGTCATCCATCCTAACTGCTTGCCTCAGACTTTCTGCCTCTCTGTCCTGTTTGCTCCGGTGAAAAGACACCCAAAACCACTCCCCCCTTCACGTGGTCACACACGCACACAAGTTCGATGTGTGTGCGTGTTCGTGTGGTTTCTCTGCAGTGTCTGTTTACGAACACATTTGACTATTGCGGAATTTTATTTTGAAATGCTTTATTTTGTTAACTTTACCGGCCTGCCTCTTATGTCTACGTTTGACTTCCTGCCAGAATTGACGCGATTCACCCGCGGCTCGCGAAAAAAATAGAGCCAACGCCGAAATGATCGCTGCACGGCGCGGGCTGGAGCGCCGGCGCGCGCCGGCGCGAGGCGATTCGCGACGCTTCGGCGGCCCATGTGGTCTATAGAATAGCTTAACAAGGGCGCCGAATGAAGGCGGTCCCATTTTCGCGGCGCTTCGCGGCGCTTCCGCGGCCAGTGTGTCCCCGGCCTTAGACAGTTTGAACACAGGAAAGTTTAGCTTTTTATCCTGCTTGGTTCTACATATCAAGATAGCACTTTTAAGAGCATTATACTGGATATCATGCTGCACACCATATTCAGAACAGATATTTAGGAGCTGCTGTAAACCAGCACCACTTGGACTGAAGACCACCAGGTCATCAGCATACATCAGATGGTCGATCAGAGTTTTACCCATCAAACATCCTGTGTTACAGGCTCTCAGCTGCATTGACAGATCATCAACATACAAATTAAATAAAACAGGAGACAAAATAAAGTCTTTTGATAAGAAGTTGATGTAATCTGATATCAAATATGTAATTAATACTAATTGCTATGTTCCCTCTAAATCAGGGGCGGGCAGTCCGCTATCCAGCATGTTTTATGTTTATGTTTATTTATTTGGCAGACGCTTTTATCCAAAGTGACGTACAACTGTTAACCTATAGGGCATGCTGTGATCTGTGAAGGAAACTGGAGTACCCGGAGGAAACCCAGGCATGCATGGGGAGAACACGCAACTCCACGCAGAAAGGCTGCAGCTGAGTTTCGAACCTGCTACCTTATTGCTGCGAGGCAACAGTGCTAACAACTGCTGCCACCATGCAGCCCATTAGTCTATGCTTTAGTTTTTTCTCTGCTTAAACACACCTGATTTGTAACTGTGGGTGATTAAGGCAAGGTAGCTTTATTTATAGAGCACGTTTCAAACACAGAGGCAATTCAATGTTATTAACAGGCGTCTGCAGAACTTGATGGCTTGCTGAGCATGGGATTCAACAGGAATCAAGTGTGTTGGAGCAGGAAAACAACAAAAATATGCTAGATAGTGGCCCTCGATGTTAGGGTCTGCGTTCTCTGTCTGCTGTTATTGCTCTGAGTCCTCTAACTGCAGGTTGCCTGGAGAGCGGGTGTAACCGACGCCGATTTCACAATCACTGCCCAGGATTTAAGCAACTGTGTGACACAACACCACACCGGAGGATTACTCACGCTGGGTATCTCTAGCCAAACTAAGTTTTTGAATGCTAGAAATTTCTAGTTCTTGTGTCCACATGTATTTGTTCCTAAGTCTTAGATCTCCTGTGTTTCCTGTGAATTCAAGATCCACTGACGCTAATCCTACAAGTATTAACAACCATAAATATTACGAAATGCATTACTAAGCAGACACCTTCCGCTGGCACTACCAATATCTGGAATGTTAATAAATGGATAGTTTGTTTGTTAATGTTTCATAATGCACTAACATTAAAAATCCCATATTAGTTACATAAAAAGTAAAATTGCCAAAACCTTAGGAGTATTACACAGAGTCAGGTTTTTACTGACTAATTCTGGTTTGTTGGCATTGTACAATTCACTGATTGTTCCATACTTGACTTATTGTGTAGAAATCTGGGGAGCAACATACAAAAACTATACACAACCCTTATTTATTTTACAGAAAAGAGCTCTGAGGATCATCAATTATAGTGGCTGCAGAGATCCATCGAACCCATTGTTTATTAAATATAAATTACTGAAATTTCATGATTTAAAAGACTGGAAAGTCTTACGAACCATGTACAAAGCCAATTTAGGTACTCTGCCAACAAACATTCAGGGGCTATTTGAAAAGAGAACTAGTAATTACATGCTGAAAGAAACTGATGTGTTTACAAAACCTTGATTTAGAACTAAAATTAAGGAGTGGAATATATCTGTAAATAAATGTGTTAAATTATGGAATAACCTTAAAAGGGAAATAAAAAAAACTCTGTCATTTAATATATTCAAAAATGTATCAAGTTGAGTGTACTAAATAATTATGAAAATGTAAATTAGATCAATGATCATGATCGCAATGGAATTTAGAACAGGAAATCCTTTCAAATGAATCTGTGTGTGTGCCTGACAAATGGTAATTATATATAAATTGATTATTTCCTCTGGAAGAGGGGGCAGAAATTATAAGATGTTTTTCTTCATTCTGCTCCTTCTTGTTCAAATTTAATTTTTTGTTATGTATTTCTTATTGTTTATGTTTTATTTGTTTTTACTTTGAATGAAATAAGAGAAAAAAAATAAATAAATGGACCCTGATTGTAAAGTGTTACCAAATAATTTAAAACGCAGCTCTTACTGTCCAGAAAGATGTGATAAGACTCGCTCCAGTCGCTCCACAGAGGAGGCTCAGCCACACCAGCACACCGAACCTGGAAGATGTAGCTGACCATGGGTTCCAGATCCACAGGCAGCCTGGGCTCTTTATGTGCAGAAGCTACCTGGAGCAAGATGAAGGAGGATGAACCCAAACGTTCATTCTGACACAGCTGGATTTCAATATCTGAGGACTCACCTGCCAATACTGGTTGGTGCTGGAGGAATATCGGACTTGGTATCTCAGTGGGTCGGTACTGGAGTCTAATGGCTCGTCCCAGCTGAGAACCACTCCTGCTTCTATGGTCTGAATGTGTGACAGGTTTACAGGAGGACCTGGTTTCTCTGTTAAAAAAAAGATTAACAATAAGATAATTATGGTTTCTTTCATCATGGTTCATTTGAACACTACAACATAGAACCTTAAAGACTGAAATAATTCATAGTGTTTAATATTTTCAGTATTTGAGGCAATTTCTGAATAATCTACAGCTGTTTCTATGGCAACATTACACACCATGATGGAAGATGTAGTAAAGTGCACGTTTATCCAAAACAGGAAAGTGAAGAAACATGTTGGATTTTGGTCCATGATCCTGGTTTGAACTGGTCTGGCTCAAACACAAAAACTAGATTTTGTGTTTTTTGTATTAAATAGACCCATACACCCTGAGTTTTACAGATTTATTTAATCATTATTACTGGCGCTGCTCTGGTGTTACTTCCTAAATGACAGAATACTACTGGCATCGCCTAGAAAGATAATAATGTGATTTATTTTATATATATATATATATATATATATATATATATATATATATATATATATATATATATATATATATATATATATATATATATATATGTTTGTTTTTAACACAGCAAGTTCATTTTATAGATCATGATGGATTTGGTGTTTGTGATGATGATGATGATGATGATGATGATGATGATGATGATGGTGACGGTGGTAGTAGTAGTAGTAGTAAACACAGCAGGCAAGGAGAGTTAAGTGTCTTGCCCAAAGACACAACAAATGCGACAGACTGAGCGGGATTTGATCCCACAGCTCTCCCGTCACAAGACAGTAACGTATCTTCTCCCTCGTGGGGATGAACATAACTATTTTATTTTTGTGTGTCTGTCTTCTCAAAGTGAGTCCTGACAGATGGCTGCTCACACTGATCCAGGTTCTGTTGGATGTTTCTTCCTGTTAAAAGGGAGTTTTCCTCTCCACAGTCGCTACATGCTTGCTTAGTATGAGGATTGCTGTCAGTCAGTGTATTGACGCAATCTGCTGGGTTTTCTTACATAGAAAATGTTTAACTAGTTGGCATAATGAATTGTAGTCAGTGAACAAAGTGGGTTCAATTGAAATGTTTACATTGTGATGAGACTTGAGACGACTCTTGTTGTGAATAAGCGCTATGTAAATAAACTGAATTGAAATGAATAAAGTGACCAAAGATTAAAAGTACAAAACAACAAAATAAAAACCAACAATAATGTTTTAGAGCATTTATTAAGCAGATGTTATTCAGAAATGTAAAATGTTTTGCTGCAGCACCAGGCTGTCTGTGCATGTGCCTGATTTAAAACATCTCCAAAAAGTAAGCCATGTCAATATTTTAAAAAGCTATGACAAATATCTGTTTTAGGGCTAGACTGACATACTGAAAACATCAAATTCAGAAAACCTAATTAGAACAGTTCTGTTTCTGTTCTTCGGCCACTTCTACCTGAACAAAAACAGCATGTCAAGTACTTGTGTATCACTGTGAAAATCTCCCCACACACACGCGCGCGCGCACACACACACACACACACACACACGGCTGGGAATCAGCTGTATTCAGCTCACGTCTGCCACACCTGAATTCAAGCCTCTAACCTTATCTGCCAACATTCATCTCTTCATGGCTGAAAATGTTCAGATGGAAACCAAGAGCGCTCTGAAGACAGAGAGCTTATCATCATCATCATCATCATCATCATCATCGTCCAAAGCTGCATGTTATCCTAAGACTTTAATCTTAGGGGGAAATATAATGAATGCCGGGAGCTTGTACCTTTGATCTCTTTCAGTAATGAACATAAAACACAAGATTTCGGATTTTCTCACCTTTAGTTGCTTAAAAAGATGTTTCCTTACAGTTTAACTGATCTTTTACTCTTAACGCCTTAATTAATGACTTTTGATTTAAGAGATTATTCTGCTGTTGTATCTTTATTCATCCGGTTGCCATTTACAACCATTTAGCTTCAGTTGACTTTTATCTGCCCTGCTGTAACAGTAGACGGGCAAAGACGGTGTCGGAACCAGGTCGGCTCGGGGTCCTGCGCCTGCTGATGACGTCACATTTCGGCCAATCCACTCGGCTTTCACACTTAAGTTTTGGAAAGACATCAGCAGTTTTGTTAATAAATTCTTGCTTGTTACCACATAAATGTTTTCTTTATAATTGTAATTTGTTGATAAAACACCACATTATCTTTGTTTTGTAAAGAATGTGAAACTGCATAAAACCAACATCAGACTGCCAAGAAACACAACGGTTCTTATATGTGAAGCCATATCTGTTTGTCTTAATGTGGAATTTGTCTGTATATTTCCTTACTTGTTGTCAATACATTCATTCATCCATTCATCCATCCATCCATCATCCATTCATTCATTCATTCATCCATTCATTCAAAATGTTGCTTGGTGTCTTTTCAATAAAGTTCTTATATTTTATTTTGCCCCATTTCATCAAAATCAAGAGCTTTTGAAGGTCACCATTTATCAGTTGATATATTTGCTTTTATTTTACATTTCCTTTGGAAATTAAAACATTTTCTCCAAAAAGTGTTGATTTTTGGACTAAAGGACTGCAACCGCTAAGAATACAACCGTAAATTTGTTCCGACAAATCAAAATCTTCATTGTCAACGTGCTAACGTAACTTTTACGAACGTGGTATTGTAACTTCCGTAAGTCTTACATTCAGCTAATCATACTGTGACGTATTTGGCAAACGCAGGACCCCGAGCAGATCTGGTACTGACAACGGCACCTTCTGAGCTGTGATCAGAAAAGGCGTGTTTGGACGGATAAACCAGATATAGAGACAAAAGTTCCTGAGAATTTCAGGAAGATGACACCCCAGAATGAGCCCTTAACTGAAATGTATCTTTGTCTTACAGTAAAAAAAAGTAAGATAAGGCTGATGAGTTAATTCAATCATAAATGTTGCTTTTTGCTGTCTCATAAATATACTGATTTATCTTTTCCAGGACAACTCATACATTTTTCCAAGTAATTATGAATAAAAGGTTGCTCTCCAGACAGAACCAGATTACGAATTGAGCTCAGTTATAATCATTTTTATTGTACCAAGAGATTATCTCCAACTCCTCCACAAAATATCGTCCTACAATGACCAGGAGCAACAACGACTAAGTTCTTCTTAACTGTTCATTTTGAAATAGTTGTTTTGTTTTTTTCTTACCAGGCCGCTCAGGAATTCTGAGCAGAACCGGTGGAGCTGCAGCACCAGAGATGCTGACGGTTACCATGAGAACGAAGCTTCTCGCAGAGTCCAGGTGAAATGAACACATGAGGGAATCTTCTGCATCACATACAAGCAGATTATGAGATGTGGAGTTGGCCTCGACTGTGTCATTGTTCAGGAGCCTGGAAATAGATAAAATATGATTAATGCCTGAACTAGAACTCAATAATGTAAAATTATTGTTGTTTAGCATCAAAAAGGTCACAAAAATTTAAATAAAGTTGGTAGAAAAATCTAAAAGCATCATGGGTCCTGTAGAATGAAGTAAGAATGACATCCTGAGGTCAAATTTGGGTGCAGCAGTCCATGTTTCTAAACAAAGAGAGACTCTCCCACCTCCCGTTTGGGGGTTTGATGATAAATACATTTCACTGTAATATCGAGTTGTTGGTAATTTAAAAAGTGGCTTAAGTTATTTTTAGAGCCATCAATTTGTTTTTAACTGTTAGCTCAATGTTAGCCTCTAGCCTTCTTCACCAAATATTAGTGGAAAACAAAAGATGCCGTGGCTTCTTAGGGGTACAAGAAAGAACTTCTGGGTCGCTCCTGTTTACTGGCTTAGGATGTTCACAAAACGCTGCTGCATGTTGCCACATGGCGCCATATTACAAATGCAGATGCAGCAGATGCAAACTCAGCAACCCCGCAAGGCAGCTCACAGATTGTCAACAACTACATTCCTTTGAAAAGAGGAAATACGACAACCACCCCAGCCGGCTGAGAAGGAAACCCGCTTCAATGTAACATTCCTTTTAACATGATTGAGACATTCAACTGTTTTGTGCTTATTATATTATTCACTGTAAAAAATCTTACGTAATGTACCTTTAACTTTAGGAAATTTTACAAAGATATGTTGACTTGGCAAGGCAGAGCAAGATTTCTAGGCTATCAGTGTGTTGGATCAGTGCTGAATTGGTCTGTTTGATCCCAACATAATGAAAGCCTGGATGTGCTACACCACTCTCCTCTGCGGATCAAAGTAAGCAGATGTTTAACCCCCCAGTGAGCAGTCGGGAAACACTCGGCTCCACACAAACATTCATTCACTCAGCAGCAGAACACGTGTTTATACTCACAGCTGCTGCCCCCTGATAGGCGGCCCGCCACCAGATTCAAGATCACAAGTTACGTTCTCCCAGGTTTCATCTATTCTGCACAAAATGTCTAAACAGGCTCCTGTAAGGAAAATTATAATTGCATATTAGTACAATGTGTTTCTTCCTGCTGGGAATTTCTTAGAAAACAATCAGAACTCATGTTCGGAGAAAAATAAACCTTTTTACGGTAATCAAACACTTGCTCCGTTCAGCCTGGTGATTTAAGCAGAGACTTACAACTGAGACTATTTGCTGTTTTAGTCATTTGAACATAGAAAACATTAAAATTATTTAGATCAAATTAGCTCCACAGCGTTTACCTCGCACCCTAATTCAAACAATGGATACACAAAGCCTGATCCTTTTTCTAAAAAACTGATTTAAAGAAACACTAAAGATTTTTAACATAAAGCTATTGATTTCAAATTGGTTTCAGTGATTCTTGATGTAGAAACTTTACCAACTTCAGATTTGAAAGGCACTGTAGCCCTCTGCTGACCAGAAACCACAAGTAGGTGCACTATGTGGAGCTCTCTGGCTGCTTTATGGCTCTGCTGAAAGCTAATATAAGGCTAGCAGTTAGCTTTCTCAGTTTGCTGACCCTCAATAAAAAAGACAAGAACAAGAAAAAAAATGGAATTTTACTTTTCTGTTGGCATCATGACAAAGCCAAAAGTAGGAGAATAATGTCTTTGTAGGTGAAGAAAAGAGCTAAAATCAGAGTGAACATCGGTGCGGCCTACACTTGTTTGAAAAAGCTGGAGGCTATGAAATCAGTCACGCACTGATGGTGACTTGTCTTTCTTCCTACTAGACTTGTAAGTAGTTATATATTTTTTTGTACAACAGTGTAGATCTTTTCACTCTGTGGATTATTTAATATCAGTTGGCTAATGTTAGTGTTAGCTTGCTTTTAGCTCATTGTTAGTGCTAGCTACAGCGGGCTACTACCAGGTTGTTTACGACAGCTGTTATTATGGAGAAGCAGGAAACTCAGCAGTGCCGCTTTAAAAACAGTAAATCTGAACATATTTATAGGAAATGTTATGTAATTATTTTACCCCCAAAAGACTGTTGCATTTTCAGACACTGGCTTCATGTTTCACGGCCAACAAATCCAATCATCATAGTTGATAAATAGTCTTAGTAACAACAGGAACTCTTTAGTTTCTCTATTCTTTTTCAATCAAATGCAAACTAGTTGCACCTAAAAACACTAAAACAGCATTATGTTGCCTGGAAGAAAACATACAATCAACATCTCTTTGTGAAGTTCTGTAGCAACATATATGTACGTGCTCACTGGAGCCTTGCGTGTTCCCCGGATGTCCGTGTGTGAAAACAGGTAATAATGAAGCGACTCGGCCCTTTAACCTCACTCTCTAATTGTTTCACATAAAGCTCAGAGCTCTCATTAATCACAGCGCCTCGCAGATCGACGCAAACAAACAAATCCCACCCCCACCTATAGTGCCTCTCCTCCATCTTTACCACCTCAAGGACAAAAGCAGCTGAAGGGACTCCTGACTGCTGTGTGTGAACTCAGTGACCTTCTTAATACTAAATCTCTCCATGAAAAAAATAAATAAGAGTGAAGCCTGTTGGAATCAGATCGACAGCTCAGGTCTTTGGGGACACAAAGATGGGTGACAACCAGATGACCTGTGCCTAATACAGAGTTGGATGGATTTTTAATCCTAATCCTACAACAAAATAATAGCATTTGCTACTTTGCTGCTAGAAGAATCACATAAAGGTAATGATACCAAGTAGGTAAAAAAAAACAGTTCTGTAAATCCTTAAGAGCAAATGTCTCCAAAAACTAGTAAACTAGCCTTTATAAAATCAGAACCCAAATTTTATCTCAATATTTTGTTTTACACATTTCAACTTTAACTTCTGGAAATCAAGTTTAAAAGTCTCATAGTTGTTTTTCCACAAAAATAAACAATAAAGAACAAGATCTGCTTCTAGACCTGCAGAAAGAGAAAAATAAATAAATAAACAAAGAAATGGGACACAACAACAATACAACAAGATCTAGCTATCACTGCATCAACTTGATGAAGAAATATATAATCAACATTGTTTTACTGAACAATCACACGATAATAATCACAGTGCATTAAGTGCCCACCACAGCCTTAAGACGTGTTGAACGTGCCCAAGTCCATACTTATGAGAGCACCATGTGAGCACCTGTGTGTTTATCAGCGCTTGTTTATGTAAGGTTTCTCTATAGGAGCGTCCAATAGAGAGTGTGAGGGGCCACAGATCAGCCCCCTAAAGATGTGCAGGAGACGGAGGGAGCTCCAAGTCCCAGAGCTCCAGGAGCTGCCCCAGAGCACAGGAACCCCAGGGAGACTGCGACCAGAAAAGCCCCTGCCCCCCTCGAGAGGCGCAGAGAGCTGCCCCGGGGGGCCACAACCAGCAGCCGGCAGAGTCCCGGGAGATATCGGCGGCAAGCCCACAGGCCCTCCCGCAGCCTCCCACCCCCTAGCCGGCCGAGCCCGGGACCCAGCGACCCGGGACCCAGGGGCGACCACTTACAAAAATGCACGCCAGACACCCACTCATGCTCCCCATACACACCCTATTCACTCTGGTCCCGGTACTGCTGCACATGGGGTACAACCATTACCGGTTCCCAGAGTTTGACCCTTTCTGCTGGGGTGCTGATGAGCAGGCTCCCCCGCCCAACGCTGAGCACAGCAACCCACCACCCCAGACCCGAACCGGACGGCCGGATCTTCCTCCTAGCCTCCAGCAGTCCTGTTTCAGGAAGAGCTTGTAGAAATAAGCTGGAAAAGTGGGGGGTTTGGAGTCTAACTCATTAATATTCATGATATGCAAACATGTCTCCTTTGATTGGCTAACAGCAGCATGACTCTTCCGCTGCCGTTGTTTGCTCCTCCTTCTTGAGTAAAAAATGCAACATTGATGTTTTATCTCCGCAAACATCACATGCCTGTACGTGTTCCGCCATATTGTGGATTTACTATTGCTAATGGTTGGCTTCTACTAAGAGATGGACTCTACTCTCTTCTGCATGCTAAATTATTACAGCCTTCGTAAGCCAGGGTGGGCGGTGCCATGAATGCAAATTTTCCCTGTGACGTAGAAGAGAATGGCATTTTCTGACTCGCTCGTTTCCTCGTCTACTTCCTTTCTGATGCTAATGCAGGTTATACGGGTTGAAGAAAACGTCACGTTCAGCATGCATATACAACTCAGAGTGGCCTATCGTATTTAAAAAAAACAAGAATAACACAGTTTCTCAGTGAACGAGACCTTTAAAGGTCTGAAAGGTCAGTTGTCACACACACTGATGTGTGGTGAAATTTGAGACCTGGGTTTAATTATACACAGAATAATTTCATGCCAAAGGGCTTAAATTAGGATTCAAATGGTGGATCTCATTCCGTGTGAACTGATGTTTTGACCATGTCCTAATCACACCTGATGGGGACATGACAAACTCAAGCTGAATATTAAACTCTCACCAGCAGGAGGTTTTAGATGCTCTGGCTCAGCAGCGAGGCTCCTGAAGGTGCAGCGAAGAGGATGTGGGAGGTTCACTTCAGACCGGTTTGTCTCTGGTGGGATTCTGCCGCTTCCTCCAGCACTGATGTAGGCAGGAGGTGAGTCACAGCACAGCTCATCCTTCCACGGGAGGTCCAGGACTCCTGAATGGAGAGGAGCTCCAGGCTCAGACTCCAAACACAGAGAGTCTGATCACAGAGGGATGGGAAACTGTCAAACTGAACATCTGAGTATCATTTACTTTACTTCATGTATTTGTTATTTATTAATTATCTATTATCAGGTGTTTTTATTTTTCATTTCAAGCAATTTAAAAATGTTTTAAAGGAACATTTCTTTTGATAAATGAAACTAGAAACAAACTTGAATGAACAACATTTGTCTATAGATGCTTTATTTAAACATCATGGTTTATTATCCTTTAGAAAAGTCCCTTTATTACATCCAAGTTTGTTGATAAAACAAGTTCATTAAAGCTGCAATAAAAAGCAAGGAGTTTGTCAAAGAGTTAGAATCATAACCCTTCAAAGATGCTGATTATTTAATTAGAATAGAGCTTTTACAGTAATATCACAACACGCTTGTCCTATTGTAAAAATACATCATCCATCAGCTTACAATATTTCTGTAATTTAAAAAAAATACTATAGAAAATGGAAATCTGAAGCTTCTACAGACCACTTCATGCAGTTACTTCCACCTGAGGCAGAATGACTGCTGAATCTCTGCTAATTATGCAAAATATGCATATATTCAAATGAAAAATGATAAACGGCAGTGCAGTAAAGGGCGTCAACTTTCTCATTCTTGGCTTATCTATAATTAAAGGAGACGAAGGAAATTTGCTTTCACTGCAAAACGCAACATCAGTTTTTAGGAAAGCAGATATAAACACCGAGCTTCTTGTTAAAATATATTAGCAAAACCAGCTCATCATAACATGAGTTTTAGAATGTAGAAAAGCAGCTAATCTCAGGATCCACGCGGCATTAGTACAATAACCACCAGTTATGTTTGGGATACAATGTGTGAGGTGAGAGGAGCAGGGAGGTAGAGCATGCTTGAGTCTAATTTTTGAGAAATGCTTAATAAACGTCTTTAGGGGTGTGTGTTGGCATGAATCTGGAGATATAATATGTAATAAAACAGAAGAGACGGTACGATATATTGCGATACAAAAAGCCAGATGATACTTGTGGGTTTTCAGTAATCGGAGGGTTGTAGGATCAATCCCGGCTGCTGTTGTGTCCTTGGGCAAGGCATTTGACCCACATTGCCTGCTGTTGGGGGTCAGAGGACCGCTGGCACAAATGCTAGGCAGCCCTGCCTCTGCCAGTGCACTCCAGGGTAGCTGTGGCTGCATTGTAGCTCATCACCACTAGCATGTGTATGTGTGTGATTGCGCTGTAAAGCACCTTGGGGGGTTCTAGGACTCTAGGAGGTGCTATTTCAAATACAGGCCACTTGACATATTTAATTAGAAAACTAAGACCAGATGCTTCCAAGACACTTCCAGTGTTATTGCGACATCTTGTTCCATCAGAATAAAGGGGGTTAAAAACTGCTGCTACCCAGCAACCAAAGTCTGAATTGCACTGCACAAACCAAATCCAGTAAATGTTTGTAAATGCTTCTTTTGTAAATTCTCAAACACGATATCGAACACAAAATTTGCAATTTGTCAGTGTATCGATATTTTCTTACATCCCTAAAAGTCCCTAAAGGATGAGAGGTTAGAGTTGATGTGCTGAAAACTCACCACAGAGCATCAGGAAAACACACATCAGGACTGTCCACATGGCTGTGCAATCCCTGTAAACACACACATGCACACACACACACACTGATTTCATTATCTGTTGTGCATCATTTTACTAAAAAAAAACATTTCTTTGGGGGAAAATCTGGTGCAGGTGTGTCTAATTCCAATGAAAGAACAGCATTTAGTGTGAAACTGAAGGAGGAGCTGCAGGTTTTGCCAAAATTCCTGCTTATGAAAACCAACAATGATCAGGTTTATTGTCGTTACGCAAGACATTCCTGAGAAAACCGTGGGAGGTGAACGTAGTCATGCGTAATTGTGATCATTCCAATTGGCCACACTCTAGAAGAACTGGGACCCGATTCTCAGTTATTTTATCAATTTAATCAACTTTCTGGTGTTTCCAACCAAAGAACAAAAAGCTGCCTCCTCTTATGCAGTCACTCATGTTTTACGCGATGCTTAAACAATTGACTTGTGTGGCGTTTAACCGCTTAACACACACTCTTCAGCACAGAATCAGCAAAGTGTTCCTGCTGCAAGGGGAAAAAACCCACATCAATTTTTAACTGATTTCTTTTGATTTTTTGAGCTAATATTGGAGCTATTATTTTTCTGGCGGAATCTAGATTCCAGAGAATGTTTTAAGGCTGAAGACTGCATTCATCTGCAGGAAGAGAAAGTTTAATCCAAACTGGTGGTAGACCGATATATCGGGCCAATATTTGCCATTTTTTATAAATCAGCATCGGCCGGTAATTGTCCTTATAAAGCCGATTTAAAGTCGGGCATATCCTCGGTGCTATTGCAGGATTTAATTTAAATGTATTTTTATGTTCACTAATCTGCATAATAAATACTCTAAATTAACTTTATTTTGCTGTCTGACTTTAACATTAATCAGTGCACAAAGTTCAGATTTAAAAGTTAAATTCAAAACCTGATTCAGCTTCAGAATTTTTGTTCATCAACTGATGTCATTGGTGACATTTTGGCATGAAAATGAGGAAATCATCTGTATCTATCGGCCAACCGCTGACCATGTCTGCTACATATCAGCATCGGTATTGGCAATAGAAAAACCAATATCGGTCAACCTCCAATCCAAACAACTATGCTGCCCAAATTGCCAAAGCACAATCCGGCTCCTCGGAAACAGAGGAAGGTTTTCCTGATAACTCAGAAGAACTTACATTGTTGAGATCATACCAGGAACATGACGCCGCCGGACTCTGGCTAAGGCGAATCTCTCTGAGGAGGAAAGGAAACAGGCAGAAACGTTTCAGTCAGCCCTTTGAAGGTAAGGGGATATCTCAGCTACAATTTTAGGACTAAGTACCTGTTGAATGGAAGTTCTATCAACATTTAATAAGCCGCACGCACCGTTTCATTCAAACGTCATTAACAAATACAAAAACTGATTTTCAAGAAAGTTTAAAAAACCTTGTTTTTACACAATTTATCCTACTGTTAGTCTAAAAAGAAAATGTTTTTTCTGGAAAAACAGCACTACATCAAGTAAGCTATATATTCTCAAATATGATCAAATCTTCTTGTTTTGAGTTTTAAAAAAAAACAATAAATAAATCTGTCCATGGGGTTGGCAAAGAATTCCTTGGCTGGTATTTTAAAAACTTGCTAAACAATGTAGTCCTGAAATGTACAAAAGGGAGCGGCAGTCCAGCATCCATAAGTTACTATCAATAGCTCAAAATCACTTTTTGCAGTGTAATGTTCCTCCACCTAATGCACTATTGTTGTGGAACATTGAATAAAACTTTCACCTGCAAAAATAACTTGAGTTGGGTTTTATGACCAGCTGTTGGTTGAGCCATTAATTTCATTCAAGAAAATTATTCAGCGGTATCACCTGAGCGTCATACATTTATGCATCTGTACACAACCAAGAGCGCCCTGGCCAGCCCCCCCCCCCCCCCACACACACACACACACACACACACACACAATCAAGAGCGCCCAGGCCAGCCCCCACCCCACCCCCACCCCCAGGAAAGGCCAGTATTAACAAATCATATTAATGTTCAGTCAAACCACATATTGATCTTGTTTATTCATAATTGTAAAACTAAATAAAATATTACAATTAATGAGTAAAGAAATAATCAGAATAAAAATACATATGTTTCTGCTGTTCACCATTTAAAAAAAAGTTTTTATCTCCATAGTTTTATTTTTGTGTGAACACAGCAACACGGGTGAATTAACCTAAAAAAAATACATTTTGAAATAAAAACTGGGATAACATTTTAAATAACTGAAAAGTATTTTGCAAAAATGTTTGTGTTTGCAAAATTTAAGTTAAATGTTTGGGATACGTTCTGTTATTTTGATAAAAACGAATAAAGGCACAATGCAGCACATCGCCACAGACTAAATTCAACCAGTTACCACAAGGACCAATTTGGTGTGCCACCCCAAAAATTTATTTGGCCCCATCTGGCCACCCCTATCAAGATTTCCTGAAGGCACCCCTGTACACAACATGGCTCACTTTCAAGCTGACAGTTACACAAGAGGTTATTATAAAACTCTATTTGGTCAAATTAGAACAGAACTCTGACAGAATAAGCACATTTTCTTTTCTTCTTGTAAAAACCGTTCCCTCCCTGTTGTGTTTTTATGCTGATGCCAAAGCCAATAAGAGCAGCCACATGCGGTTCAGTAATATGCTGGGTCATATTGAAGCAACGAGTTGAAAAAAAAGCTCCACATGAAAATTTCCAGAGCTGCTTGCCCACCGCATGCATGACAAGTGGATCATCTGTAGAACAAGCAGCTGACATGCTGCTAAACTCGTGAATGTTCACAGGTGCTTGTGTGTGTTTGTGTTTTTGCCTGATAAGGATGCATGGAGAAAAATAACAGAAATGCATAAATCTTTAAACACTGGATTGTAAATCAGAGTACACAGAGTCCAGGTGGGAAAAGATTAAACTGGGCTTGTGTTCCACTGGTTCAGCCCCCCCACCAGTGTGTACAGAACAAAGCCTGAATCAGGAAGTAAAGCTGTTCTGACTAGTTATCATGTATTTATTATTTCTGAAGAAGGGTTTTGATTCTCCACAAGAACTAGAGAGACTAAAAAATCTGCTGTTATCCATTAACTAGAACCTCAAACCGCAGTTCAAATGTTTATTTATTCTGCACAACCCTGGTCAGTGTCAAAGACCTCCTTCAGGATTTTGCCTGAGTCAAAACACTCCCATAGTAAAATTATGTTCATATTCATAATTATGTCAAGCAAAGATGCTTCCAGAGGATGAAACTGGCTGAGGCGCATTTTGATTTGTTTTAACCTCATTCACAGCTGAAGCTAAAGAAACGACTCTTCATGCTCCTTCATTTTCCACACCTTTAATATTTAAACACGCGTCTTGAGAACAAAGTCAGAGAATATTTTATCATCTGGTTTGGGTCATGAAATTTTTATTTGTTCATTATTTATTAACAATATTTCATTTTTTTTCCACACAGAATTGACTGTTGATAAATATCACTTTACGGTTTTAAAGCTTTCTACTAGGGATGTCCAGATCTGATCACGTGATCGGAAATCTGTCCCAATCACGTGGTTTCAGACCCAGAAATGGACGTCCTCCCGATCCAGACTCAGATATGTATGTTTATTCTCGTTACCTTTTAACACATCTACAGTTATGCAGTGGCACAGAGTCGGACCTCTTGACTCCACACAGAAAAAACAAGGTGTGTGGCATGACATCACTTTTTGTAGAGACACTATTGGTTAAACGCTGCAAATATAGAACCCAGAAGCAGTTTGCAACAGGATGCGCAGGTATGTCTGCGGCTGGAGGTGTAAAGTTGATGACAACATTAAACTAAAGTCCAAAAGTGGAGAATTTATGTTATTTATCACTCGATTGTTTAGGCTACCTCACAGAAGTGTTCTGTTTGTTAACACTTGCTTTGCACATCTTCTAATTGAAATCTGTCTTCATCATATATATATTATTTTTTCATAAGCTTGCGTTTGGTGCCCCTCTGCCAGCGTGGTGCCCTACGCGCTATGTGTGATGTGCGTGTGCGGAGCGCCGGCGCTGGTTAACAGAGTTGTTAAATGTTAAAAAGAGTAGCATTAAATACAAAATAAGGAACATTCTGAATCTGTTTCTTCACTTTTCTTCATTCTTTTTAATGTATTATACAAGTATCGGATCGACATTCGTTATCGGTAGATGCTCAAAATGAAATGACTCGGACTCGAGGGCCAAACTTTTATCCCTAATTTATGTCCGTTTGTTATCAAGTTTATGGGTAAAATATTATTTGAATACTGAAAATTTGTTAACAAATAGCAAAACTTTTGTTCTCTCAACTTTCTGTTTTAGAAAATATTAATAACATGCACAATATGCATATCACAAAGAACAGATAAATATCGCAATGATTGGTCAGCTTATGTGCTTCTTCACCACTCTCTCTTTATTCTGCTCTCCCAACCTATTCCACCTTCCTCAGGATCCACTGATTTCCCTCTTTCCTATTCACTCTCTCTCTTTCTTAACATTTTTTTCTTTTAAATCCCAGTTGCCTATTTTTTGCTCATTTTAAATATATTTTTAAACATTTTCTAAATGCTTTTTTATATTTTAACTTTTATTTTTTGTTTTTGTGAAGCGCCTCATGATTTTTTTCTTGAGAGGCGCTATAGAAATGATATTTTCTTCTTCTTCTTCTACACATCCTGTCAAAGAGATGCTTTTTTTAACGAATCAAATAGAGCTTTTCACCCATTTGGCCAATTGGGTGGGTTCTAATAGGTTAGCTGCCCGCCCCCGAGGCAGACGGCACTTAATTTTGATGGTTAGCAAACACCTGAGTTAGCTATGTTCTGCTCTTTCTACTGATTCAGCTTTGCCCGGGATCCACTGATTGCCTTTTCTCGTTCATTTTCTTTTTCCCTTTCCTCACATCTTTTGTTTTTCTCATTTTTATGATTTATTTGTCATTTTTTAATTTCTTTGTTTTTGAATATTTATGTTCCCGAGTTAAGTTTTATTTATCGTGAGTAATATCGTCATTCAGGGGCGGATTTAGGACTGAAGAAGATCGGGGGCTTAACACACACGCACACACGCGCGCGCACATACGTGACACGCACTAGTCAACATCATATATATGTCTTGTACTTGTACCACATAATTTTTAATCTGAAGCTACATATTAAGCATATTCAGGGCAGAGTATTGTTCCTGTTAGTGTTTAGTGTGAGATGATAGTAAATATTCCCTTTCTTTCTCCAACAACTTTACCTGATAAGCTAACTTTAGGCAAACCAGCAACACAACAAATATTTTCAAATAAGACTCACAAACCTGAGTCAACACCAGTCTCATCAAAGCTGGGGTTCTGTCGTTGTTCTTTTTGTCTAAAAAACGTCCTTATGTCCATCTTCACATGCGTTTCAGGCAGAGAGTATAGAAGAAGCCAGCTGCTGAAGGGCTTCTTCTTCAGTGGTGGAGGCTCAGGCAGGCTGTGTACAAACTACTGCCAGCTGCTCCCTCTCTGTTGGACTTTGGTACTGCATGTTACTTCCGCGATTTAGATCCGGGGCTTATCATGAAACATCCGGGGCTTCAGCCCAAGTAGCCGGGCCTAACACCGCCCCTGTCGTCATCAATCAATCAATCAATCAATCAATCAATCAAAGATACTTTATTAATCCCAGAGGGAAATTAGAGTTTCAGTACACACAATTCAGAGATCAGACATACATGGCCAAGACACATGACAAGAATTGGTGACTGTGGTCATTCGCAACCCTGAGTCGCACTACCTTAATAGAGATAAGAGGGTTACATGAGGGTTGGTTCAGGTGGAGGGAAAAAAGGCACTTCAGAGTTACCCTTCATAGGGAGGGCAGCTTTGCTCTGCAAAAAAACACCTCAGACAGATATGCAACAGACTTCAGACATCACAACATAAGTGTCCACTAGGTGGGGTGGTGGGTTGGGACTATCCCCACTTCAATTCCTGCAGCCATGATAGAAGCAGCGCATGTCACCTCAGTGTGGATAGGGGGAGGAGCATTGAGGGTTGGAGGGTTGCAGTGACCCTGGAACGTATCAGCGGCCTTCCCGCAGTCCCGCCCAGGCTGGGATAGGAGACAGAGTTGAGTTGCCATAGCGACGGCACATTCCACATATCTTCTGAGAGGGGAGTTTTCGTTGTAGCCTTGCAGGCTCAAGGGCGCCAGATTCCGATTAGAAATTGTTTTGGGTCCAGACAGAGATAATTTCCTCTCTGTCTTACAGTTTGTTGGTCCTCAACCTCTCAAAATCCCAATAATGGACATTAATCTATCCCAATCCGTGCTGATTCGTCCACTCTCTCCTTGATGGCATCCATCTTCTGTGCCAATGAATGAATCTCGGCCAAAGTTCCAAGCTTACGATTCATCTAGACAATTATGTGAGTCTGTGAATTCACAGCGCGGTGCAAACCATCTCTGAGCTCCGGGATCAGGCCAATATTCCTCGACAGCTCGTTAATTTTCACGGTAAGCCAGGTAGCCTCCAATGCCGATCAGCAGGAAACACGACACCAACACCACGAAGATTTAGAGGGGTTGAGGACCAACAGAACTTTAAGACAGAGAGGAAATTATCTCTGTCTGGCCCCAAAACAAGTTCTTATCTGAATATGGTGCCCTTGAGCCTGTGAGGCTGAAATGATTAGTCCCCCTCAGAAGAAATGTGGAATGCTGCCGTCACCATGGCAACTCTGTCTCCCTATCCCTGCCTGGGCGGGACTGCGACCGGAGAAGGCCGTTGAATCATTTCCAGGAGTCACTGTGCTTTCTAACCCTAACCCCTTCTTTCCACCGGAGCCGTCAGCAGCACGTTACTGCAGCAGCACGTCTTGCTCGCGTATGCTGCTGCTTGGCCCTTCTCACAAGACGCGAAGCAGCAGGGGAGCAGCTGTCACCGACAGAGCACAAAGTCACACGAGTGACTTTGTCAGTAAACACAACAACAAGCAGGAGAAAACTACAACATGGCTCCAAAAGGTTTGTGTTTTATGTTCTGTCCGTTTTATAATCACCAATACGGACCTGAAAAACAAAGGAGACCGCTAGCTAGGTGATAACTTCTCACGGGGCCACACAGTTAGTAACTTTTTTTTAAAGTAAAGCAACCGGAAGGCAGTACGTTTCTTTATTCTGAAAATCTCGGGAAGCTTCGCTCCATTTCCGCGTCCGATTTCCTGTCTTTCCTTCCCCAAAAATGTCGAACTTGACCCGTTTCAGAGGCGTAGTGTGTAGAAAATAGAACCGGTGCGTAAGGGCTGCGACATGCTGCTCCTGAGACGCGGCCGACTTGCGCTGCTGACGGCTGCTGATGGCTCTGGTGGAAAAGGTTCTGTTGACCACAGCAGTTCTTATCAGCAGCTATGACATGCTGCTGCAGTAACGTGCTGCTGACGGCTCCGGTGGAAAGAAGGGTGACTACCTTCCTCCCCTGTCCAAACGGAGGTGGCGAGCGCTGCTTACCGCGGCTGCATGCACTGATGTGTGGAGAGTCCCCAACCCTACCTTCCCACCTAGTGGACACTTATGTTGTGTAATGTCTGAAGTCTGTTGCATTTTTGTCTGAGGTGTTTTTTGCAAGCTACCCTCCCTGTGGAGGGTAACTCTGAAGTGCCTTTTTTTTCCTCCACCTGACTCAATCCTCATATGAACCCTCTGATCTCTATTAAGGTAGCGCAACTCGGGCTACGAATGACCACAGTCACCAATTCTTGTCATGTGTCTATGTATGTATGTATGTCTGATCTCAGAATTGTGTGCACTGAAACTCTAATTTCCCTCTGGGATTAATAAAGTATCTTTGAATTAAATTGAATTTATTAAGTTTTATTTAATCCCAAATCCTTCTAATAAAGTCGCACAGCAGCTTTGATCATCGATCAGCATGACAGTGTTAAGGAAAGTTGAACCAGCATTCAAAAGAATATAAAAACTACAAGTTTACTACAAGTAAACTACAAGTACACCGGTGTACGCACTCAAGGAACACCTCTAAACTTCAGAAACGTTTTCCACCAACATTATAGAGGAACTCCACTTTACACTTATTCATGCTGTGACTCACTCCTGCTGCTGAGACTTGCTGGGGCTCGTCACCCTCCACAAACACATTTCTGCCAGTTTGTTCAAACACTGGGGGACACTCAAACACCATCCTGTTTAAACCAGAAATGCTAGAAAACTCTGGGCAATGAGGATAAATAAATATGAGCGAATAGTCACATGTGAATAAAAACTGAAATCTCCCAGGAGCATCAGCAGAGTGTTGTTAACCAACGTGTTAGAATAAAATCAGAAATCAGAGTTCTTACAGTTTAGTTGAGATTCACCAGATTTCCTCTTCTACAAATTAATCCAGGTAAACTCAGATTAAAACTTCTCTTTTAGATGTCTTCAGATTCTCTTTACACACGCGCGCACACGCACACACACACAAACACAAACACGTGCCTGCGCTGTTGCCGATGAACAACTGACTGATCTGAAGGAGAAATGACATAAACCTCTGGAACAACTCGGCCCCGCCCACTGTGCTGCGTTCATGTTCCCTCTGGAAATCACAGCAACCAGATGCGCAAAAACAAAAAAAAGTCGGCTAGATTTAACTCCGGGAAAGAAAAACATAACATAACAGTGCAATTACTTAACAGTCCAAACATAGACCTTTATTTATCTGAGGTTTAAACACATTTTCAAAGTAATTTGACTGTTGAGCTGGTCTGAGTCCACTAAAGTTCAAAGTGCAATATCATTTAAAACTACAAAGGCAAATTTGGAAAAACTGTCATGATGTGGAGTTGTTGCAAATGCAGGTAGGTAGATTGGCAAGTAAAATAACCGTTTATTATGAGTAATGGTGGGCAGGATGCTTCAGCAGGAACACAAGGTTAGGATCTGCACAAACAGAGGGTTTAAATACATGAGGGCAATCAGGAATCAGGTGGTTGTGATAACAAGGGGCAGGTGAGTCCAATAAACACTTAAAGAGGGGAGGCAGGACAACATATCTGATGGAAAAATGGGCTTAAACATTGTTTTCATGCCTCTTAACAGTTTTCTAACATAGTATAGCTATATAAATATATTGTGGAGATAATTATTAATAATAATAATGATAGAGTGGTTTTCTCACATTCATCTAAAAACCTCCACCAATAACACATTTCAGACCAAAAACAACTATTGGTTGTCAATTTCACCAAACCGCCGCACTTCCCTGGGTCCTCCATTCATTAGGCACTATTTAGCAAAAGAACACCACTGGTGTGAGAAGTTCTCCACTCAATAATATCAGAGAAGGAGAAACAGCTGGCTGCTACCACTTCAACTTTACGACAAACTACCAGAGTCCCAGAAAGAAATTTTGATGTCACAAACATTTAAAGAAGTTTGAACCTAAACAACGGCTACTGGTGTTTATCGCTATCTCGTTTCTTCTGGCATCATGGATCTCAGTGAAGATACCTGAGGGGAGGGGTGAGAGTTCCATGGGTTTGCATTCAAAACCTAGCTTGTTTGCAGATTCGTTATAACAGCTTAAAACATTATTTCGTTGGTGTTTTCTAACAAATTCCACCAGAACAAAGATGTACCATGAATATTTAGACACACAGCAGAAAAAATCTGCGGTAATCACCTGGAAATTGTTACTTTTAGTTACTTAAAACTTGCGCAGCAGCCAGCCAGCTCTTTCGCCTTCTCATTACTCAGTGATTTTAGTTATAAGGCATCATTGAGTTTATCTAATAGAAAGATATTAATTCATCTACTATTCAAAAATTGTATTTGTTATACATATAAAACGGCTGTGCAGTGGCGCAGGGGGGGGGGGGGGGGGGGGGGGGGTCCGCAAACTTTCACCCAGACAGCTAATTATCCCCAAGAAAACACAGGCAGTGCTTTATTTCACTAGAAAGTAAATCTGACTCATTCTTTTAGACAAACTTCACAAATACGTCGCCTTTAAAGCACTTCCTTCAGCGGTTGGTTGGTGTTCTTGGTCAAAGTAAAAATGTTTCCGACACACCAGACAGCTTGTTTCTGTCAGTGTTCCTCCATTAAGGTGCAACCAAAGTCGCCGTCATCATGCATATGAAATATTAGGATGTAATGTGCTGAAAGTCAGACTGATGTGTGAAATATGACGTGTCCTAACTGGTGTGGGTCCCTGCTGCTGGTGTAATGAGAGTAGGAGCTAATAACAGGTCTGTCTGTGGGAGTGAACCCATATTAGTTCACTATTAGTTCACCTTTAATTAAAGTTTCTGGTTTCACATATTGGTGCAATTAGATATGTGAAACATTACTTGATTTTTCCAAAACTATGGGAAGAACCTTGAATGTTTGTGGCAATTTTAGAGATGAAAATTACCATTTGAATAAAGATTTGTCATTAGAATAGTTTATTTGGGAATCAGACGTTTTAATCAGAACAAGCTGGGGATTTGGCAGGATACAGGAAGTGAAGTCAAGCCTTTCCAAGCAGAAAGATTGTGAAGAGTTAGCACAGTAAGACTCTAAACCATTGAGTGTCTTTAAGGTTAGAGCAAGGCTCGAGGCAGAACCCTCACACGAATCAGCGTGTCTGTTTGTGTGTGGAGGTGCCAGAGTGAAATAATGGCTGCAGTCGCTATCAAACTTTATGACGTAGAAAGAATGCATCATGAATGGAGCTGCCTGCCTCCGTGAAGGGGAGGGGGCTAATTTGTAAATAGATTACCCCGTTCTGCGTCACAATGGAGGTACGAGGCATCAATTTTCCAGCCCTCTGATCTTTACTAAGATTGATTTGGCTCGTTTCCTTCATCCTCCTGGCATTCCTCTGTCAACACCCACTGCAGGCATTATATACAGGTCCTAATTCCATGCTTTCGTTCTTTTTTAAACACAGAAACAGTTTTGTAGCTACAAAACAGGTAAACAAAACTGTTTCTGTGTTTAAAAAAAGAACGAAAGCATGGAATTAGAACCACGACACAGTAAGAACACACCTAAGATATACAGGTCCTTCTAAAAAAAACATATTGTGATAAAGTTCATTATTGTCTGTAATGTACTGATAAACATTAGACTTTCATATATATTAGATTCATTACACACAACTGAAGTAGTTCAAGCCTTTTATTGTTTCTAATATTGATGATTTTGGCATACAGCTCATGAAAACCCAAAATTCCTATCTCAAATAATTTGCATATCATGAAAAGGTTCTCTAAACGAGCAATCAACCTAATCATCTGAATCAACTAATTAACTCTAAACACCTGCAAAAGATTCCTGAGGCTTTTAAAAACTCCCAGCCTGGTTCATTACTCAAAATGGGTAAGACTGCCGTAATGACTGCTGTCCAGAAAGCCATCAGTGACACCCTCAAGCAAGAGGGTAAGACACAGAAAGACATTTCTGAACGAATAGGCTGTTCCCAGAGTGCTGTATCAAGGCACCTCAGTGGGAAGTCTGTGGAAAGGAAAAAGTGTGGTAGAAAACGCTGCACAACGACAAGAGGTGACCGGACTCTGAGGAAGATTGTGGAGAAGGACCGATTCCAGACCTTGGGGGACCTGCGGAAGCAGTGGACCGAGTCTGGAGTAGAAACATCCAGAGCCACCGTGTACAGGTGTGTGCAGGAAATGGGCTACATTCCCCAGGTCAAGCCACTGTTGAACCAGAAACAGCGGCAGAAGCGCCTGACCTGGGCTACAGAGGAGCAGCACTGGACTGTTGCTCAGTGCTCCAAGGTACTTTTTTCAAATGAAAGCAAATTTTGCATGTCATTCGGAAATCAAGGTGCCAGAGTCTGGAGGAAGACTGGGCAGAGGGAAATGCCAAAATGCCTGAAGTCCAGTGTCAAGTTCCCACAGTCAGTGATGGTCTGGGGTGCCATGTCAGCTGCTGGTGTTGGTCCACTGTGTTTTATCAAGGGCAGGGTCAATGCAGCTAGCTATCAGGAGATTTTGGAGCACTTCATGCTTCCATCTGCTGAAAAGCTTTATGGAGATGAAGATTTCATTTTTCAGCACGACCTGGCACCTGCTCACAGTGCCAAAACCACTGGTAAATGGTTTACTGAACATGGTAGTACTGTGCTCAATTGGCCTGCCAACTCTCCTGACCTGAACCCCGTAGAGAATCTGTGGGATATTGTGAAGAGAAAGTTGAGAGACGCAAGACCCAACACTCTGGATGAGCTTAAGGCCGCTATCGAAGCATCCTGGGCCTCCATAACACCTCAGCAGTGCCACAGGCTGATTGCCTCCATGCCACGCCGCATTGAAGCAGTCATTTCTGCAAAGGGAATCCCGACCAAGTATTGAGTGCATAACTGAACATAATTATTTGAATGTTGACTTTTTTGTATTTTACTTTTTGTACTTTTCTTTCATTGGTCGGATGAAATATGCTAATTTTTTGAGATAGGAATTTTGGGTTTTCATGAGCTGTACGCCAAAATCATCAATATTAGAAACAATAAAAGGCTTGAACTACTTCAGTTGTGTGTAATGAATCTAACATATATGAAAGTCTAATGTTTATCAGTACATTACAAAAAATAATGAACTTTATCAAAATATGCTAGTTTTTTGACAAGGACCTGTATACGACCGTCCTGTGGGTTATGTGAGGAAAAGTTGTACTTTGATGCAAGTTACAGTGAATAAAATAAGCTATGCATTGGGTATGATTTAGACCTCTGGAGATGTATATAATGAAAATGGGTAGAAATAACTTCAGCCTTGGAGGATCAGTAAAGCCTCATTTGGCTGTTGGAGGTGTTTTTTCTGAAGAATTTAGGTTATATCTTGAGATTGACTGATCAGGCGGAGATGAGACAGGAAGGATGAGCAGAGGAAGCACTTCTCTGCTGGGAGCACTCTCTCTCCCCTCCTCCAGTGACATCATCTCACATGCGTGCATAATAAATGACATCATTGATCAGACTCGACCTCTACATATCTGTTATAGCTGTTAAAGACATCAGAGAAAGTATCTGAGCACATCTGGCTTCAGTAATGTGTCCAGATGTTGTTATTAATAATACATCTCATTTATACCTTATTATTTATCTCACACCTTGGGGTTGTAGAGCCCTAAGAAGGCATTATATAAATACAGGTCATTTTGTGTTGATCTTGAGTGAGAGAAGTCCAGGTCTCTGGTGGTATTTAGTCCAATAAATGAGCAAAATACTTTACAGTGGGTCAGAAACATCACTCAGCTTGATAAAAATTGCACGCGCCCTTACATATGAACATTTGTAAGTCTTTTGCTCTAACAGTGAAGATGCTAAATGAATAATTCAATCAGACAGAAAAAAAGCATAAATCCTCTAAAGAGGCTTACATACCTGGAGGATGATGTCATCAACACAACAAAGCGCGGTACGAAGCGGGGGGGACAAAACAACACTGACACGAAACAATGAACCAACACCACACTGAGATGCAGACAGGGTTAAATACACTGGGGCAGGATGAGTGGGAGATGAGCTGCGGGTGCGTGGGGAGAGAAACCTAGTGAAATCAATCAACTTATCAGTGAGAGGAAAGTGAGCTGAGGAGGGGAAAGAAACACACTAAAAGAGACTAATTAAATGAAAAGCTGAACCTATAGAAAAACTACAGAGGGGTGACTAGGGGAGACCAACGTGAGCACAGGACCTGGGGGGATACCTGGGGGGAGAACCTGGAGGGGCTGCAGACAAGGGGACACATGAGGAACACAAGAAGACACATAAGGGGATCCTACAGGGGGATGGAGAACACAAGGAGACACATGAGGGAGACGCAGACGCAGGCCATGACAGTCCATCCCCGTCCCGTCCCGTCCCCCCCCCTCAAGCGGCGGATACCAGACGCCCAGAAGACACCAGAAAAACACAAGAAAAGGGGACCAGGGGAGTCTGGGGGACCGGCGACGGGGAACCAGGAGCTGGGACCGGGGGGAGTCTGGGGGGGCCGGCGACTCTGGAGGAAGAGGACGAAGAGGGGACTCTGGAGACGGGTACACAGGAGACTCTGGAGACGGGGACACAGGAGACTCTGGAGAAAGGTGAGGAAGGGACGAAGACTCTGGAGACGGGTGAGGAAGGGACGAAGACTCTGGAGGAGGGTGAGGAAGGGACAAAGACTCTAGAGGAGGGTGAGGAAGAAACGGAGACTCTGGAGGAGGGTGAGGAAGAAACGAAGACTCTGGAGGAGGGTGAGGAAGGGACGAAGACTCTGGAGGAGGGTGAGGAAGGGAAGAAGACTCTGGAGGGGGATGAGGAAGGGACGAAGAGGCCAGAGCATGATGAGGGGACACTGGAAATGGAAGAGGGGACACTGGAGACGGGGACACTGGAGACTGAAGAGGGGACACTGGAGGCTGAAGAGGGGACACTGGAGACTGGGACACTGGAGACTGAAGAGGGGACACTGGAGACTGAAGAGGGAACGAAGACTCTGAAGGATGAGGGGCCGAAGACTCTGAAGGATGAGGGGCCGAAGACTCTGGAGGATGAGGGAACGAAGACTCTGGAGGATGAGGGGACGAAGACTCTGCAGGCGAAGGGGACGAAGACTTTGCAGGTGAAGGGGACGAAGACTCTGCAGGCGAAGGGGATGAAGACTCTGCAGGCAAAGCATCTTGGACAGGCGGGGCCGACATGACTGGAGGCGGAGCCGCTGCAGGCGAAGCCTCTTGGACAGGCTAGACTGGAGCCTCTTGGACAGGCTGGACCGGGGCCTCTTGGACAGGCTGGACCGGGGCCTCTTGGACAGGCTGGACCGGGGGCCTCTTGGA